CTCGCTACCGCTAGATGAGCGCGAGCACTTCGGCCAGTGCAAGACTGCTCAGGACCTGTACACAGCCGTCGTTGCCCGCTACTCCTCGCCTGCGTCTGCCACCCTAGGCCGCCTCACCCTACCCTACCTCTTCCCTGACCTGGCCTCTTTTCAGACCGTTGCCGATCTCATTACTCACCTTAAGACCAGTGAGGCCCGCTTTCGCGCTGCTATGCCTGCCGAGTTCCTCGCCAGCAACCCCCCACCGCTCTGGCTCACGCTCTACCACATTGTCACCCGCCTCCCTGACTCACTGCGCGCAGTCAGGGACTCTCTTCTTGCTCGCTCCCCTACTGAGCTCACCATCGCCATCCTTGAGAAGGATCTACTTGCAGCTGAGGCGAGCATCGTCGCCGTAGGTGCCTCTCGTGGCGAGCCCCGCCACCCCTTCTTTGAGGGGTGTTCCCCTTCCCCCCTTCTCCCCTCTGTCGCCACTGCTGCTGCTGTCGACCTCCTTGGTGCTGAGAAGGTCGGGGCTGCGTCTGCCTCGAGCGGGCGTCGCAAGAGCAGGGGGGGCAAGGGTGGGGGTGGAGGCGGGGGCGGTGGGGGTGGCGGCAGTGGGGGTGGCGGTGGGTCTGGAGACACTGGTGGTGGCAGTGGGGGTGGTGACAGCGGCGGCGGGAGTAGTGGCGGCAGCGGCGGTAGCAGCGGCGACGGTGGTGGTCGTGGTCGCGGCAGGGGTGGAGGTGGCCGAGGCGGTGGCGGTGGCGGTGGTGGTCGTGGAGACGCTGGTGGTGGCCAGGGTCAGCAGCACGCCCCGACCCTCCAGGCCGCCCGTGAGTGGTACGCACAGCGTGGTTCCACTTGCACGTACGTCCACCGCACTGGTGATCGCAAGGGCCTGCCGTGTGGGAGGCCGCACCCCACGCAGCGCTGCTACCAGCGCCTTACTGACGCGTGGCGCGCCCAGTTTCCTGGGGGTGCTGAGCTGCCCCACTGGCCTGAGCTGGAAAAGAAGGGTGTTGATATTTGGGCTTTAGACTTTGATGCTATTCTCACTGCCATGTATGCGATGTCTATTAGTGGAGAGAGTGCTCAGTACCTGCGTGTTCCGCCCGACCCGGGCATTGTGACTTGTCAGGCTCCCGCTCTCAGTACTTGTGAGACTGCTGTCCCAGGTTCTGGTGAGGCTGCTGCTCTAGGTGCTAGTGTGTCTGCTGCCCTAGGTTCTGGTGAGGCTGCTGCCCTAGGTACTAGTGTGTCTGCTGCCCCAGGTCCTGGTGAGGCTGCTGCCCTAGGTACTAGTGTGTCTGCTGCCCCAGGTCCTGGTGAGGCTGCTGCCCTAGGTGCTATAGCCCCAGTCGCCCCTGGTCCTGAGCCGACTGCCGCACTCCACACCTTCACTCTTGACTCAGGTGCTTCCCGCTCCTTCTTTCGTGACCGCACTGTCCTTGAGCCTCTTGCTCGGCCGGTTGCAGTCTCGCTAGGTGACCCCACTGGGGGTCCAGTCGTTGCGACTCACTCCACTGTCCTCCCTTGTCCTGCAGTCCCGTCCGGCACGCTGTCGGGTCTCTACCTCCCCTCGTTCTCTACGAACTTGGTGGCAGGATGTGAGCTACAGGATGGGGGTGTTCACCAGACCACCCCTGCCTACGAGCGAGTGACCCACTGCACGTGTGCCCGGACGGGTCGCCACCTGGCTACCTTTACTCGGGAGCCGGGGTCGGACCTGTACACACTGACCACTGAGTCCCCTCAGGTAGCTGCGTCCGCGTCTGCGTCGGCGTCAGGTCAGCTGTCCGCCCCCTGCTCGTGTCGCTCTCTGGCGCACGACACTGTCCTCTGGCACCACCGACTTGGCCACCCGTCTGTGCAGCGCCTTCGTGCCATGCACAAGCGGCAGCTTGTCTCTGGTCTCCCTCGGGTTCTCCCTCCCCTCCCCCCCTCACCTGCTCCCGACTGCATTCCCTGTGTTGAGGGGTGGCAGCGCGCCGCTCCCCACTCCTCCTCCTTCCCCCCGACGACTGCTCCTTTGCAGACGCTACACATGGACGTGTGGGGCCCAGCCCACGTCCGTGGTCAGGGTCAGGAGCGGTACTTCCTGATAGTTGTCGACGACTACTCGCGCTACACCACGGTCTTCCCCTTGCGCAGCAAGGGTGACGTCCCTGATGTCTTGATCCCCTGGATCAGCCGAGCCCGTCTCCAGCTAGGCAAGCGCTTTCGCTCGGACTTTCCAGTCCTACGCTTGCACTCTGACAGAGGTGGTGAGTTCGCCTCCGACCTCTTGGCAGCCTACTGTGCTGAGCACGGCATCGAGCAGTCGTTCACGCTTCCGGCCTCTCCACAGCAGAATGGGGTCGCTGAGCGCCGCATTGGCTTGGTCATGGAGGTCGCTCGTACCTCCCTGACCCATGCGGCTGCTCCCCACTTTCTGTGGCCGTTTGCGGTCCGTTACGCAGCGCATCAGCTCAACCTCTGGCCCCGTGTCTCCTTCCCGGAGACTTCCCCGACTCTGCGGTGGACGGGAGAGGTTGGTGATGCGTCGCGTTTCCGGGTGTGGGGATCCCGAGCCTTTGTCCGCGATACGTCTGCGGACAAGATCTCGCGTCGCGCTGTTCCCTGTGTCTTTCTTGGCTTTGTCCCCGACGCGCCTGGCTGGCAGTTTTACCACGTCGCCTCGCGCCGGGTTCTGGCCTCTCAGGACGTCACTTTTGACGAGTCTGTCCCCTTCTACCGCCTCTTCCCCTACCGCACTGCCCCACTCCCCCCACCGCCGCTCTTCCTCGCACCAGGTGCTGCTGTGGTAGACCCCCTCCCCCCTCAGGGTGCCGCTCCCTCAGGTGTGTCCCAGGTAGACCCGGTTGACCCTGTTGAGGTAGCTGTCGAGTCCCGCCCTGCCAGAGGTGCTGAGCCTGAGAGTGCGGAGCCTGACAGTCCCGAGCCTGGGGGTGCGGAGCCTGGGGGTACTGAGCCTGGGGGTGCGGAGCCTGGGGGTGTGGCGACTGGGGGGTGCTGCGTCTGGGGGTGTTGAGCCTGAGCGCACTACGTCTGGAGGAGCTCTCTCCTCCCAGCAGCTGCAGGAGAGGTACCTACAGTACTGCCGCCTCCGGAGCGGAGCTTCTGGAGCTCGTCCCAGTACTTCCCCTCCTGCCCAGGAGCTCCCCCCCATTCAGCAGATCCGAGAGTGGTACGCGCGGCGCTGCAGTCTCCGGAGTGGTGCCCCTGGTGCTGAGGACCTGGACGTTGGCGTTGTCGCTGGTGCTGAGGACCCGGGCGTTGGAGCTGCTGCTGGTGCTGCGGACCCGGACGCTGGTGTTGTCACTGGTGCTGCGGACCCGGGCGTTGGAGCTGCTGCTGGTGCTGCGGACCCGGACACTGGCGTTGTCGCTGGTGCTGAGGACCCGGACGTTGGCGTTGTCGCTGGTGCTGAGGACCCGGGCGTTGGAGCTGCTGCTGGTGCTGAGGACCCGGACGTTGGCGTTGTCGCTGGTGCTGAGGACCCGGGCGTTGGAGCTGCTGCTGGTGCTGCGGACCCGGACGTTGGCGTTGTCGCTGGTGCTGAGGACCCCGCCGCTGCTGTCTCTACTGGTTCTGGAGCCGCTACGCGGCCGCGACCCTACTTTGTCCCGCTCCTTCAGCAGGTTCTTGGTCTCACGCCAGTCCAGTCGCAGTCACAGTTACCGCCCGCCTCCCCTCTCCCTGGTCCCTCTCCCTACACTGGTCCCACGGGAGGCCTTACTGAGCGTCGTGCGCCTGAGTCACGTCCAGCGTCGCCTGTCCGTACTGCGCGCACCGGTCGTCGTGCCCCGCGTGAGCGTCCTCCTCCTGTCCCGGGCACTCACTACATGACTCTGCGTCCCTCCACTGCTCCGCAGCGTGTCCCGCTGCCGTCTCCTCCTGAGTCTTCGCTGCCTACTCTTCCTGACCCGGAGTCTGACTCCCGTCGTGCTGCCAGTCCCACTGTCACGCGTTTTCTCGCTACTATCGTCACTGACCCGTCTTTTGAGTCCGCTGCTGCGTCTACTCTGGTCGCTGAGCTGGTTGACTTTGCTTCTCGCTGTCGCCTGGACTACGCTGCTAGCCTAGTTGCTGAGTCTGAGTCTGCCTGTCCTCCGTCCGTCGGGGGTGAGTGTGCTCTTGGCACGGACGTCCTTGAGGACAGACAAGAGGAGTTTCACTGCTTAGCTGCTGCTGTGCCTCATCTCGTGTCCATGCTTGTTGCCCCTGAGGGAGACCCGGATGCACCAGACATCCCGACCCCGCGCTCCTACACTGAGGCGATGGCGGGTCCCTACTCCTCTCAGTGGCAGACAGCCATGGACGCAGAGATGGCTTCCTGGAAGTCCACTGGCACTTACGTCGACGAGGTTCCCCCTCCTGGGGCGAACATCGTCAGTGGCATGTGGATTTTCAGGGTGAAGCGACCGCCGGGTTCTCCGCCTGTCTTCAAGGCGCGCTACGTGGCTAGGGGCTTCAGTCAGCGAGAGGGAGTCGACTTCTTTTAGACCTTCTCCCCCACCCCGAAGATGACTACTCTTCGGGTGCTGCTGCACATAGCCGCTCAGCGCGACTACGAGCTTCACTCTCTTGACTTCAGCACAGCTTTCTTGCAGGGCAGCCTGCACGAGGAGATCTGGCTGCGCCGCCCTCCTGGCTTCACTGGGTCGGTTCCCCCTGGCACCCAGTGGAGGCTTCAGCGGCCGGTCTACGGTCTCCGCCAGGCACCGCGTGAGTGGCACGACACACTGAGCACGACACTTGCGGCTCTTGGGTTTGCTCCCTCTACTGCTGACCCGTCGCTGTTTCTACGCACCGACCCCTCACTGCCGCCGTTCTACATCCTCGTGTACGTCGACGACTTGGTCTTTGCCACAGCTGACACCGCTGGACTCGCCTACGTGAAGTCCGAGCTGCAGAAGAGACACACGTGCACAGACCTGGGTGAACTGACAAGCTACCTTGGCTTGCGGATCACCCGGGACAGAGCACGGCGCACCATCACCCTGACTCAGTCACACATGGTGCAGCAGGTCCTTCAGCGCTTCCGCTTCACGTACTCCTCGCCTCAGCCCACTCCTCTGCCTACGGGACACTCGCTCTCAGCTCTGCCTTCGGATGAGTCCGTAGAGCCGAGTGGCCCGTATCCAGAGCTTGTGGGTTGCCTCATGTACCTGATGACCTGCACACGACCTGACCTTGCATACCCTCTTAGCATCCTTGCACGCTATGTCGCTCCCGGCCGTCACCGGAAGGAGCACATGGATGCAGCTAAGAGGGTGTTGCGCTACTTGTGCAGTACGTCGGGCATGGGGCTAGTGCTTGGAGGGCGAGACCGGCCTGTTCTCACAGGGCACTCAGACGCTTCTTGGGCAGACGACCAGGCTACTCAGCGGTCGTCACAGGGTTACACCTTCAGCCTTGGCTCACGCTCAGTTTCCTGGCGTTCTACACGCTCTTCTTCTGTTCTCAGCTCCAGTTGTGAGGCTGAGATCTACGCCACAGCCATGGCTGCCCAGGAGCTACGCTGGCTGACCTACCTGCTGACCGACCTTGGAGAGCGGCCTGGTTCTCCTCCAGTGCTGTACGTCGACAACAAGGCTGCCATTGCCTTGTGTCAGGAGCACAGACTGGAGCACAGAACGAAGCACATTGCTCTGCGGTACTTTCTTGCTCGAGAGCTGCAGCAGCGTGGTCAGCTTTGTCTGCGTTACGTGGCCACTGAGGCCAACACTGCTGATGTGTTCACCAAGGCGCTTCCGCCTGTTGACCATCAGCGCTTTTGCATTCTGCTAGGCCTTGTGCCTACTGGACCTCACTTGCTTACTTCTTGACCCTGCTTGTACTGTGATCACTATATATATATATATATGCCTGCATGTTTACTTTTGCTAGGATGTGATCACTGTATCTCTTGCTGTGTTATAAACCTGCATGTGAACTGGTCTTGTGACCCCTGTTAGGTTTGGCTATCCCCCTACTTCACCTATGGGGGTGTGTCAAATTATATGATTTATATAATTTAGGTTTAGGTTTTGTAGGGGTGTTTCTTAGGGGGTACAACTTTTCTCTCGTCACTTTTGTACCCCATGCCCCAAACTAGTCGACATCATTCCTCTCTCACCTTGACAGCGAGCCCCAGCGAGGTAAGGCGATACTGTTACCGTTCACTCGCATAGTGCAGTCACCCGTCGTCCAGTCGATTCGCGGATTGTGTCGTCGCAGCCAATCACGCCCGAGTAAAATGACGGTTCCGTCGAGGATCATTGCGAACATTTCCTGACTAAACGTAAAGCTACCCCCGCATCGAATCCGATCCCAGTCCACACGTTCCCGTATCGCCAGTGGCGTGCCGTCGACCAGTCTTGCGTCGATCTCAGGTAAGTCTGTCCAGTGGCAGTCTCAGATTTTGTGCTATGGCAGTGTTGATAAGGCTGTGGCTGGCCCTTCCGTGTACGAAGATTTTAACTAAGTCTGTCCCGATTTTCCCACTAAGCAGTATGGGGCTGTCTACCGTGGTACCATCCTTATTCGGCAAGGTGTGGTCAATTGCGTGAACCGGCACAATCACTCGGTGAGGGTCGGTTGGGTCGGGCGAGCGGCGTGACCTGTCAGTAGATGGCTTGTCTGCTACTGACTCCCAGCGTTTCCCTGTTGCTTCGTCTATTTCTGCTGCTCAGCTTCCCCTTTCCCTTAGCGTTTTCCGGGCATTCGCTCTTACGGTGTCCCGGCCGATTGCACGCAAAGTAGCGCCCTTTGAACGGTGCGGCAGGGGCATTTGCGACAACGGCACGTATCATAGCGCCCTCGTTCGTCCCACGAGACCGATGTCCCCAATTGCTGCTTCCGTAGGACCCCGGTCTTGGTCGGCGGAAGAAGTCGAGTTTCTCCACCATAGCGAGAATTTCTTGAAAATCGGTGACGCCGCGAAGCTGGATTTCCTGAGCGATGTCCTGCTTCAGGCCGCCGATGTAGCGGTCGATGCGCTTGCTCTCGTGCATGTATCCCTCCTGCTCGCATAGCGCCAGAAATCCGCTCGTGTAGTCCCGGACGGAACCGAGTTGGCGCCAAGTGCGGAGCTTCTGACGCGCCGTGATCGAGGCCGCAATTGGCTCGAAACGAGCGCGCAGACCTGTGCACCACGCGTCCCACGTGCGATATTGGGGCACCTCCACAAAATACGACGGCGCCCAGGGTCCGGTTCGTCCTACCCGTGTCGGTAGAGTCGCGTTGTCCACCGGCTTTGTGACGATGACACGCCACCAATCCATGGCGGGTCCTTGCAGCAACGACACGGCGTAGCAAATCTTCGCTGTATCCTTCGAGATGTAATTCGTGTCGAAGAAAACGTTCAACGTGAATAGCCACGCCTGAACGGTAGGACCACCCCGTTGACTTGGGTCAAAGCATGGTGGACGCTGCGGCTTTAGCGGCATCGGCGACGGTAGAGCTGATTCGTCGGCCGGCACATAAATTGTGACTCAAGGCTGAGTTCTGGCCGCGTTCGTCGCGTCGGGGTGTGTCGTGCCGTGGTCGTCGTCTCCGTCGTGGCGGACTATGCCATCACTAGTGGCGCTCGCGGGTTGCCCCACGCTTCCGTGTTGCGATGTCTGTGGTGTGGGCTGTATCGGAGTGCCAGGTGCTTGGGAGTGCGCTTGTTGTGCTCTTGCGATGTCGCTTTGCAAGGACGTGCGTTCTGCCGTCAGCGCCGCAATTTCTTTAGAGCTTTCATTCAAGTGCTCCTGCGTGAGAGTGGCGACATCGATATGCTCGGCCATTCCGAAGGGCATCGGTTCGTCTTAGTCTAGGCGCAGTCGTGTGTCAGAGGTCCACTTGTGATCCCCGATTGATGTCAGAATCCCAACCACTAGACCATTGGGATAAAAGGGCTTGTTTAAGTAGCAGGTTAGTGCGCCCATAACCCCCCAGGCCAACATGCCTGTAACCCTTCCCTAGGATCAATCGGGGATCACCAGTGGACCTCTGACACCCCCCCGCACTGGGATGCCCGAAGTGCACACACTGGGATTCGAACCCGAGACCGCTCTGATACCATGTCAGAATCCCAACCACTAGACCATTGGGATAAAAGGGCTTGTTTAAGTAGCGGTCTAGTGACTGGGATTCTGACATGGTGTTAGAGTGGTCTCGGGTTCGAATCCCGGTGTATGCACATGTAGGCCGTTGCTGCTGTGCTCAGTCCTGGGCCTCCCAGTGTGGGGGGGTGTCAGTAGATATGCACTGTGGATGCTCGATTGATCCTACGGGGGGTTACAGGCGCGTTTGCCTGGGGGGTTATGGGCGCACTCTGACCCGCTACTTAACAAGCCATTTTATTCCAATGGTCTAGTGGTTGGGATTCTGACATCGTGGCTGCACGCGTTTACGAGAGAACGCGAGGACAGCGGCTCCTACGGGCTAAGGTGCGTGAGTCCCCCTAGTGAAAAAACAAAAGTTGATTTCCTGGGGTGTGGAGATGCGCGGTCCGAAAAGAAAAGAGGCTCTGATACCAAGTGTTACGGGTGCAATGAATCGAGCGAAGGCATGAGCAAACAGTTATACGCGAAACATGCAAACGGTAACGTGGTGCGTGCGAGTTAGCTAGTGCTACGCTGGAGGCGAGGCTCGGGCTAGTCTCGAAGCGTAGGCCGACACGGCCGGTCCAGCAGTACAAGGTTTGGTGAAACAGTGCGCGCGAAGTCGGCGAAGCCCCGTTAGCAATAACGGGCGAACAACGACTGCTGCTGTACGCGATGTTGCAGGGTGAGCTAAGGAATATCGAGAAAATTCCTTACACAATGTCCCAATGGACAGCAACGATGGAATGATACTAACGATTTAGGAAAAACACCCTGCCTGTTATGAGTTGTAAAAGAGAGTGCGCGGAATAACGAATAACGAAGATGTGACTCAATGAAATGACAATACAATGAAGGCGCGCACTAATATAGTGGATCAACCTAGCTAGGCAGGAAACTCGGGAACACGAGGTTGGGTGCAGGTTGGGCAAAGTAAAGGCCGAAGGCGACGCGAGGTTGCTTCGGCAGGAAGCAAAGTGGCCAAACGTGCACTTCCGAAAGTTGGGGTTGTACGCGGTTGAGTAAACCCTTGTAAGGAAAAGGGTTTTTCCTTACGCTGCCCTGCAATTGTACCTGAGGAGCCGGGGTTTCTGCGATATATACGCACTCGCATGCACTCGCGCAGCGGAGGGGGCTTCTTTGCTCGACATTGCTTACTGCAACCTGCAACATCGCGTACAGCAGTAGCCATTGTTCGCCCGTTACTGCTAACGGGGCTTCGCCGACTTTGCACGCACTGTTTCACCAACCATGCACCGCTGGCCTGGCCGTGTCAGCCTAAGCTTCGGGACAAGCCCGAGCCTCGATGTCAGCCTAGCACTAGCGAACTCGCACGCACCGCGTTACCGTTTATATGTTTTGCGTATAAATGTTCGCTCATGCATTCGCTCGCATTTTGTACTCATTTGACACCTTAGTGCAATCCTCGGAACCTTGTGTCAGAATATTATCTTATTGTTCTAGCCTGTAGTGGGGTGCTCTATAGCGAGTACAACCCTTCTAGGGTTTGCTATTTGTATCCTCATTCTTGCTAGTTCAATCCTTTTTCCTCTTTCTTTCTTCTAACTTTGTCATGCTATCAGAGCAGGTCGATCCCCTTGGATCGATCCTGTGGGTGGGTTTCCACCTCGCTTCCACTGCTACCTTTCCTTCCCGCCGTGCGCCCCGAGGCGCGCGGCGGTTTTCCTTCCCGCCGTGCGCCCCGAGGCGCGCGGCGGTTTTCTGCCCGCCGTGTGCCCCGGGGCGCGCGGCGGTTCTTTGCCCGCTGTGCGCCACGAGGCGCGCGGCGGGCGTCTGCCCTACCTTCGCGGGCGTCCGCCCTACGTCGCGGCCCCGCCCTGCGTCGCGGCCCCGCCCCTCGAGGCGGCCCTGCCCTACGTCGCGGCCCCGCCCCGACCGTCGCGGCCCCGCCCTACGTCGCGGCCCCGCCCTGTGTCGCGGCCCTGCCCCTCGAAGCGGCCCTGCCCGACCGTCGCGGCCCCGCCCTACGTCGCGGCCCCGCCCTGTGTCGCGGCCCTGCCCCTCGAAGCGGCCCTGCCCGACCGTCGCGGCCCCGCCCCTCGTCGCGGCCCCGCCCCTCGTCGCGGCCCCGCCCCTTGTCGCGGCCCCGCCCTCCAACCAGGCCCGTGGTGGGCCCCTTTCACCACACCGCCTCCCCCCCCCCCCCCCCCCCCCCCCTCCCCCTGCCATTTCCCGTCGCCCGTCGCGGCTCCTTCGGGGGCCGGGCGAGCTGTGGGGTGGCGGGTATGGGGGTGCTCGGTGTGCCTTCCTCCCTTTGCTCCTCCTCCTCCTTTGTCTCCCACTGCTGCAGCTGTCGCTGAGGGGGGTGGTTGTGTGGGAGACTCGGGTTTAGGGTTTAAGGGGGGTGCGTGGGAGTGCAGCTAGCGGTGTAGCAGTGGGTGTGCATCAGGGGGGTGGGACTGTGTGCGAGAGGTTGAGTGGAGGTTGTCAATTTGTCGTTCGCAGCACCTGTAGTCCGGGGCGCTGTCCCGGTAGCCCAGTCGTAGCCAGCTGTGCCAGCCGCCCGTGGGTCCGTTGCCCGTCCGCCGCTATTTGAGCCGCGGGGCCTGTTACTCCTGTAGTCCGGGCGCTGTCCGGTAGCCGCTGTGCCAGTCTGCCTCCTGTTGCCCGTGTGCCTGCAGCTTCAGCCGTCGCCTCCTATCTCCTCTCCCCTCACTCTCTCTCCTCCTCCTCACTTGCCCGTTGTGACTACCACTAGCTCTGCTCATAATTGTGAACTCTAAACTATCTCTTCT